CACCTAAGTATTTTGTGAAGGAAACAAAATCAGGAAGATTGTGAAATGGAATGAAACTAGTTCCCAGTTTTTTTGTTGTTTTTTTTTCTCCTCATGCCTTTGTTCAGAGTGTAAATTCTAGAATAAGAAATTTTAGAGTGTTTTTCACATATAAAATTATTTCCAAAAGGGCAGAGGTATTTTGGAAAGGAGTCTGTATATCAGAAAGTGAGTTAGGATAATCTCAGGTAGAAATAATCTGTCTATAAAACCATATTAATCTCTGAGATTAGTGAATCCTGGACAGACACAATCCAGCATAGTAGGGACTTTGAGAATCCAATTGATGCATGAATCACTGTTTACAGAAAGCAACATAGAACTTTAGGGTAACCACTTACTTAAGAGAGAAAATTATCCAGGTAGTTATCAAATGACCCAGGATTGACAAAATAAAATATGCACAATGTTCAGTAAACAACCTAGCATTTCCTGAAATTCAGTGAACCAATCCCCAAAGGAAATGTACAGCCAATTTGAAAAGGAAAAAGATGTTAATCCTAAAATGATGCAGATGTTTAATACCTCACACAGCAGATTTAGAGCAGATATTTTAAAATACTCTTATTTTACTTGGTAAAGCAAAACATACTTAAAATGATTGGAAATCTATAAATCACCAGAAGAGAGACAGAACTTATAAAACAGAACACCATTAAAATTTTCTAATTAAAACATCTGAAATAAAAGAAAAAGTATACTGGCTCAATAGCAGAAGAGTACAAGAGCAATTTAACTTAAGGGGGAAATTATCTAATTTGAAGTGTAGTGAAAGAGAAGTGTGAAAAGTATCTCATGTGCCTGTGAGACAGTTTGAAAATTTTGGATATGTTTCACTAAAGTCACAGAGATGAGCAAGAGCAGATAGAAAAAAAACATGTTTGAAGAAATAATGACCAAAAATAGATACTGACAGATATAAGTCTACATATTTAAGCTTAGCATATTTAAAGATAAAAATTCAAAGAATACCATATCTAGACACATTCAAATAAAATTCACAAATAACAAGGATAAACAAAATAGCTTGAAAGAAGCTAGAGAAAAATGACAGGTGGCATCCAACAATGCAAACTATACAAATTTCTTTGTAGAATCTGAGACACAAGAGAGTTGAACCAATCTTTAAAGAACTATTAACCCAGGATTGCTATTGACAGAAATCAAACAAACAAAATAAAACAACAACAAAAAAAGAAAACATCATTGAGGCTTTTAGAAATAAGGAATGGGGCAGAAGGGTGTTGGTCTTTTCAAAGGGAAAAAAATTAACAGACCATCACAGTCAAATCTGCTGTACAAGAAGTGAGAAGAGAGTTCTTCATAAAATAGAAAAATCTGGAACTTCCGAGATAATGAAAAAGTGAAACAAATAATATGTAATTCAGTAAAGAAAATATTTTTTAGTTATTTAAATTATTTGTAACTGTTTAAAACAAATATGATCATAACTTTCGATGAGACTGTCAATGAATGTACATGTAATTTTTAAATTATTAATAAGAAGATCAGTTAATTAAAGGCACTCATATGAGCACAAAATGGAATTAAAGTACTGAGTGACAGAAATTCTGAATTTTGTATGGCTATTTGGAAAATATGAAATGTCTAAAATAAATTACCTAGGATTTCACTTTAAGAATTCATAAGGAAAGAACAAAGTCAGGTGTGTGTGTGTGTGTGTGTGTGTGTGTGTGTGTCTGTGAACGGTGGAGAGAAGACAGAAATCTTCAAACTAGAAAACAGATAAATTACACAGAACACAAATTACAAAATTGAAAGTTACACTTTGAAAAGACGAACAATCTTGGCAAAAAGTTAGAAAATGAGGTCTTTTAAAAAAACAGTGTCTTATTAAGTAGATATATGCATAGAAAAATTATGATCAAAGACTCTAAAAATGAACTCAAACTTAGACCTTAATGTGAAACAAACTCCTGTAAGTTTGAAAAAAGCAAAGATATAAATTTTCATGACATTAATTTAGTTAATAATTATATCTTAGCTAGAGCACAAACCCTATGACATATCAAACTCCAATTTGTATATTTAATAAATTGAAATTTGACAAATTTAAACTTTCAGTATTCAAATTCTGCCTTAATAATCCAAAGAAAACTGTTTATTCCACAGATATGAAATTATATATATCCACATTATATTAAAATTGTTCACAAATATTTCATAATATTCAATATTGGAAAATATAAAAATAATCAACAGATATTTAACATTATATGATACAATAAAAGGAAGGATTGGTATAAATTACTGATGCGCACACACATATACATATTAATGTATGTTTACTGAAAGAATTCAACATTAACAACTCACAGCATGAGATTATAAATTTTTCCAATCAATTATTTAATAAGGTTTTAATATCCAAAATATATAAGGAACCAAATACAAAGGAAGTCATGTGATTTAAAAATAGGAAGCATACTTGAGGAAACATTTCTCAAATGAAGACATTCAACTGTCCAGCACATACACAGGAGAATGTTCAGCATCCCTAATCATCAGGGGTATGCTGATTAAAACCAAAATGAGATCTCACAATTTTTAGGATATTTCTTATCAAGGAGATGAAAGGAAGTGTTAGAATGCAGAAAAAAGGGGACTCATAAGGTACATTGTTGGTAGGAATGTACATGAATGCAGTCATTATGAAAATTGCATGTAGAGTCATCAAAAAATAGATCTACCATGATTCAATCATTTCTCTTTTAGGTATAGACCTAAAAGAAATGAAATCAGCACCACCTAGAGATATGTTTCCTCATGGTCATTGAAGCATTATTCATAATATCCAAGATAGTGAATAAAAGCTAAATGTTCATCAAAAAATGACTGGATGCAGTAAATACCATATATATAAAAAGAAATATTCTTCAGCTGCAAGAGGGACAAAATGTTGTCATTTACAACAACGTGGATGAACCAAGAAGACATCATACTATGAAAATAAGCCATGCACTGAAAGATGAAACAGTATGATCTCATGTATAAACAAAATCTAACAAACCCCCACAAGTTGCCAAAGAATGGGTAGAGGGTGTAAAGGGGAAATGTTGATCAGAGTAACAATTTTCAGATGGACTGGAGAAACAATTCAATATTCAAGTACTTTTTAGGTACTGAATTACTCATATTATTAAAAGATTACAAGACAGAATAGTTCACACCGCAATATATGATCATTATTTACTTTGTATCTTTTCAGGGTCTTTAGTGATAACTAAAGTATCTCATGTCATTATACATTAGCATTTCACATTGTTTTTATATTTTCTCCATTTATCACTGAAACTTGAATATATATTGAGCTTTGATTTAAATTTCTATCAATCCTAGTGTCTTCATAAGGAACTAATTCTAGAACTAGCATACAATCTGGTCCTAATATTCTAGTGCTAACCTATTATGCATGAGCCATTCTGAGTTCCTTTGTTCTTAGAAATATCAGTAGTACTAATGCACCATGAATTTGTTTTTTTCTTTTTTCTGAATATTTGAAACAGAGACTTGGTCACAATCCTATGATATATTAATTGAGTTATAAATTATTTTAAAGTTCAAAGGGTAAGAAGCTATACATATTGTTTGATTAAAAGAAAATGTTGCATTTTACTATTTTGATAGTAGGAAGAGGGCCAGAGAATTCTAACAACTTTCTCTCCAAAATAGTTGGATACTTTATAATATAAATCATGCATTGGCACCTTAAACTTTTGTTCAATTATATCTACATTAAAGAAAAGTATAAAGAAGTGAAATTTTATTTCAAATAGACAATTTCAAATTATAAAATATAAAGAAGTGTCAAATATTTGAGAAATGTTTCCAATGTACCTACAATGTTGTTGAACTGTAAAAGAAACATACTACAATAATGTGAAAATAACAAAACCATTTTAGGGAAAAAATAACATATTTTTAGTAAGTTATTATCATTACTTCCTCTGTTGTCCATTCTTCATAATATCATGGCTTTCGTTTGTATTTTAGGAATTTTGATGGCAATAAAATTACTTTCTTAAAAGTAGCCTAACAGGTAGATTATAAATATGTAAAATAATATAATTTATCTATTTGTCAGTTCTTGATAAAATATTTTATTTCTAAAGGCTTTATCAGTAGCAAATATATTTTCCTTCACACTTACTATTGTTTCCAATCAATATTAATAGAAATGCTCCAGGAGGAATGTTTTGTCAACAAGATAAAACATGCTTTCCCATTAAGAGCTATGTTTTTTCAAGCATCAGAAATCTTCTAACTCTCTCATTTTGATGATTCATAAATATGTATTGAGAATGATTTTAAATTTCTTCTTTTTAGAAGAACATATTTATCAAATTATTTTGACATGTCACAAAATGACTTAAGTTATGTTTAAACGTCTTACTTCTCTATAACACATAGTTCAGGAAAATTTTAAAAATTTATTTTAACAAGTTTCCTGGTAATATTTTCTGGGTAGACAATACACAAAAATGAATAAAATATAAGTACATATATATTATACCATAGTTGCAATAGTATTTTATATATTATAAAGGTGTAAGATAGTTTATCTAAAAAACTTGAATAAGAAATGAAAAGTCACTGCTTTGTTATATTATTAGAAAACACATTTTAACCAATTATTGGTAAGTAATAGTCCAGATGATGCTGTTTATGGTCAGATTTTGCCCAGAAAAATAACAACACCCCCCAACCAAACCAAACCAAACCAAAGGAAGTCACCAATTTCAGGATGGACAATTAAATATAAAACACTGTGAAATGTCCCATTATATCCAGTAGATGTCTGTAATAACTGACTTTGAATAGCTACATTCTTTCTAATGCCATGTTTAAACAGTGAAATATGAACCATTGTATACATTTTTAATTTTATAACATTCATTTTTTCAAAGCAGAAAAAAATTTATGAATTGAAAAGAACTTACATTCAATATCAAGGTACATGCTCTTTTGGTGCCCTCCAATTCTGCTTGCAGCTTCACAGTCATATCTCCCTGAGTCTGACAACTTCACATCTTTAATATGTAGGGATGAGCTTCCATGCTGCCCTCTGACTTCAATACGGCCATCTGAGCTCTGTTCACATCGATTTGAGAAAAAGAAAGATTTATGCTTGTTTGTGCAAAATGATGGCGAAACTTATGACATTTATCACATACACATGTAAACGAAAATAAATTCTTACCCACATTAATTTTTTTAAAAAGAAGTGTTTCTGTATGTTTTCCTTTATTGATTTTAGTATGTCCATTTTGCCTGCCCACCTGCTTACCAGATGTTGACATGTAAACATTTGGACATACACTTTATCACCCACTTTTACTGAGTCTGCTGTTTGCTTTTTAAAAAGTTTGCATTTTTTGGAAGGATTTTGTTGGCTGTCAGTTTTATTGCTTGTGAGCATAAAGTAACAACATTGCTTATTCATTTATGTCTAACAGTTGCCAATGAAAATGATATTTCTGCTGCATTTGATTGCATATTCTTTCATTTAAAATATATGAAGATAAAACGTAAGGATAATTTTTAGATTTCATTTTTGAGTGAGTAAAAAGCACTAAGCAAAATTGGCACTATATGCACCATGAATACATTATTAAAAACACAGTGATCACTAAGTTGTCCTTAGAAGACCAATGAAAATTATTACTTACTCCAGAAAGTCTGATTCAAATCATGAAATCGATTTCAAACCAATAGTGTATATATTATACTATATATCTAATGGGAATTCTCCCATACAACTTAATTAGCATACCTAGAATTGTTCTTTTCAATTATTCAATTATTTAGAGCAGTCATATAAAAACAAAAATAATTTATTCATTGAATTCTACTTCATACTTTCAGAAAATACAATAACATTTTAGCTTTTGAAAATTTAGGGACATGTATTTACTATTTTTGAATTGATTATTTTCAATATCTGAGGTTTTAGTTCCTCAATAAAACACTGTATGTCACGCATGTATGTCGAAAAATTTTATAACAGTAAAATAGTTGATTAATTTTCTTTGTAATGGAAACTCAAATAAATTTCAATACATATGTGGATATTGTGTCATAAAATCTTAGTGTATGTTTTTCGTCAAATTACTTTTATACATATCAGAAGACTTTCAAAGCTATTTTTCAAACATGAATTTGATTGGGGGGCGCCACATTGCTACACTTTTGTCTTGTTAATTTTATGTACGAATTTAGTCATTATACACTCTTAAATCTTATTCAGTTATTCATATTTTATTATCAGGAAAATTGTCCTCAAAGATTAAAAAAAATCTCAGATCAGGATTTATACACCAAAAATACAGTATGTTCCCTAAGATGGTTAAGATTGTTAACTTGATTCGCTTGGGAGATTGGATCAGGAAAGCACAATTCTAGATGTGCCTGGGCTCCTCACGGAGGTGTGACGCTGGGTACTAATATGGTCCCTGGCCCTGTGTCTCTGGCACTGTTCCTCTGCTCTGCCACACCACTGCCCAGCTGTGGAGCCACTCATTCATGGATCATGGACTGAAATCTGAAAACATGAGCCAAATAAACCATTTCTTCCTTTGAATTCTGTGTGTTGGATATTGGGTCCCAGCGATGGGAAAGCTGACTAATATATTCCTGAACTCTCAGGTACTGCTCAAACAGTAGTAATGGGAGGTCCTCAAGAAATAAGGTTTTCTCTCTACTAACTGTTAAGATGCTCCGTTTCTAACATCATATAATTAACTGATAGGAAAAGACAAAAAAAAAAGTCAAGAATCAGCAGAAATCAAAATCACAGTGAATAAAACCAAAAGCCAAAACACCAATTTTGTAGACCTGATAACTACTTCTCAATAATTAAGAATGTACTCTCTGGCCCGTCCTTTGCCCTGGCTCTATTTAGTTGGAGGCTATTAAAATAGGATTGCTTGTTTAAGCAGTAACTTTCTTTAAAGCTTTCATTGGGACATGTTTGCAGTATGGAATGGTTCCATCTATCATGGAGAGTCAGTACCTGCACGTAACACATCCAAATACTTCCTATTCCGCCATCCCCTCTCTTCCACAGCACTGACTTCTAGAATTTCACAGTACTCACCTTCCCCAGGTTTTCTCCCAACTTCATGTGTCAGATCACTACTTAGGTAATCAGACTAAGTCCCTGAATTGGGTCAAGGACTTGGGTTCTCTTTTCAGTCAATACAGACCATAGAGGGACTGTCACATCCTTGATCCTGTCTAAACTGGCAATCTTTGGTCATTTTCTCCAGCCAAGATCTCTGTCCTGTTTCCCTGAAGCTTCAAAGCAGGTATCTTACTTCAAGGGCATGGTCATTTGGTGCATAACTCAAATCACCATGTGCAGGCCTGAATTCATCATTGTCCATACCCGGCACAATCATCTCTTTCTTCCTTGGAGGATGCTAATTATTGTCCATGCCCCATATTATATTATATGCTCAGGCTTCATCCTTTGCTGAAATTTATTTATTTTCTAAATGCTGAGAGATTTCAATCTGCCACCTTGCTCAACATTATCATTTTCCATTTCAGCAGCTACCAACCTATCTCTGTTTCACCTGTTCTGTCTCTAGCTACACTGCTTTGAAGGTTATTGACAGATTTTCCTGTATTTCCAAGAGAATGGTTACATATTTCATCACATAGCATGATAATTGTAATTGGACAAATGTGTCGCTCACTTCTGCTGCTGCTGCTCCTTGCTGCCTTCTGTTCGCCATGCCATGAACTCTTTCTCCCCTGTGGTGCCCCTCTGCCATCCCACTCTGCTTTGGAAACAGTCAACTATGGACAAAAACCTCTATAAACTATAAGCTTAAATAAACCTTCCGTTCTTTAACTTTGGGTGTCAGATATTTTGTTCCTGCAATGAGCAAAGTAATTAAGACAATGTTCATCCAAAGTTATTATCAATGCATCAGAAATTATTAATAAAAATTCTGGAGAAACAGAAACTTTATAAAATATTCAATTCATTTAGTAATTGTAAATCCATTTCAGATTTAATATTGGCTTTGTAAAAATGTACTATATACCTTTAACTAATACACTGGAATACAAAGTCATTCCTTCACCTGACATTCTGAAGGACATCTCTGTGCTACAAAAAGGCACTGCAACATCCAAAATAAAATTCATCTATAACTTGCCTTTGATTCGCTACCTATTGAAGATTAATTTAAGACATTTGATATTTGATTAAGAAAGGTTAATGGGCATTTTAGCTATCTGTCCACTATTCTAGGTTCTATCATTGAATTAAATAAAATGATTCAAAGCAAAGTGTCTCACTGTACATTATTATTCCTACCCTTCATAGAAATTCAATTTCTGAAATTTGATTTATGTCATATTCTTTGACTTTCTTGTAGGTCACTTTAAAACTGCTTATTTGAATAGCATCTCAATGTATATAAAATGATTATTCTTAGAGTTTACTCTCCTTTAAAAACCCCTTAAGCAAGTATATTTACCAATTTAGAATCCTACTGCAGATCATCAGGTGACCAATATTCCCTCTTTCTCTTTTTATTACATTATATCCTTGAACATTTTAAAAATTGTTGACCACTTTTGCCTTTTGACAAATACATGAATTATGTAAGTCATTCAACAATTGTTTGGCGTTCTGTGTCACTTCTCATATAATAAACAGCTACTGAGGACTGAAGTGCTGAAGAAATTTAGAAAGGGTTTATCATTAAAGAGATTAAACATAGAATGAAAATATTAATTGTGAATTATAATCAAATGAATTATACCACATGGGGACCCCACAATTTCAATTTGGACTTGAGTAATGGAGCAGTGAGGTAGAGCCAGAGGGATGTCCCCTGAGAAATAATTGTGGACTGGACTGAGATCTGCAAATGGTGAAAGAGGTGGCATTGAAGAGTGATTTCCTAGCACATGACCCCAGAGGATATTTGAGATGACTCAAAGCAGCCAACAGATACACAGAAGAGAGGAAAAGGATATGGGATCTCCTGATATCGGGCACTGAAGGACAGCGTACAAAAGCAAAAGCAAATGCAGTCACACATAAAACTTGCACTCAGATTTGCATCCCTGAATCACATATTGTTTGGCTCATTCCTAATATCATTATATCTTTATGAATGTAAAATTCAACTCCAAATATCCACAGATAAAGACAAAGATCAACTGCTAAATGTGTAAACAGAAAAATAGACACTCTGCAGAGCTTATTACCATTAAATTTTCCAAATAACTTCAAAATTACATTAATATTGTGTTGACTACAGTCAGCACTATACCACGGTGTTACAAGAATATTAAATAGAAAGTTTCTCTTCCCTCTTTATAAGACTTCTATATTTAGTATTAACATTAATTCTCTTTTCTCTGGGCTTGTTCCCAGCTTCCTAATTTTCTTTTTCTTTTTATTTCATGAACTGAACCCTTGTACAATTACCCTTCCTCCAAGCAGTATAAATGGTATAATAAAATGTATTAAATGAGAGAAGGGTTCTTAAGAAATTATGCATAATCATCTCTTCACTAAGACCTAGTGTCATGTTATTTGCTTTAAATATGCAATCAAAATTTATTTTAAAACAGGAGCTCACTACAATAATTATGAACATAATAATTATAAAAATTAATGTATATGATAAATGATACCTGCTACACATCAATTTCTATACCCTACATTAATCAGTTCACTTAATCCCAATAATTCCATTAGGACATTGGGTGTAATATCATCATCATTTTAAGAAGAAAAAATTGAGCAGAAACCTAGACCAGCTTACCCAGGTCCTATATCTTATAAGCGACAAAAGCTAAATATTCAGGCTGTCTGACTCTGGAGTTCATATTCTGAATTACGTTTGCTACATGTCTCATCACCTGAGCCTCAACTATGACACTGAGGTTCATAAATACCACAACCACATCACAGGCACTGTGCTGAGTTCTGGGGATAGAGAAATTGACAAGGTAGGCAAAGATATTAGTTTATCAGGTCAAAAGGCTTAGAAGGAAAAATGACAAATTATAACCTGTTCTGGCATAGATGAAATGCAAGAAGAAAATCTAATACTGTCTAC